AGCGCTCAGGTCTCGGTCTGCCGCCGCCCCTCACCCGCCCCGGCACAGGCCGTGGAGCTGCGGAGCCTGTGGCAGGAGCAGGCGTGCGTGGTGGCCGGCTTGCGGCGCTTCGGCTGCATGGTGTGTCGCTGGATCGCTCGGGACCTCAGCAGCCTCAAGGGGCTCCTGGAGCAGCACGGCGTGCGCCTGGTGGGCGTGGCGCCCGAGGCCCTGGGCCTGCAGGAATTCCTGGACGGTGGCTACTTCGCTGGAGGTGCCTGCGCCCCCCACTCGCCTCCCTCTGCAGCAACGCCTTCTCCAACCGCCCAATCGCCCTGAGACCCTCCTCAGACTCAGGGCTTTCACTGCCTCCTCCTCTCCCAGCCCTGGCCCTTCTCTCTCCAGGAGCGTTCCTTCCCCTCACCTCTCGCGCTTCCTTCAGCTGCGGCCCCTACTCGCTCCCCCAGCCATGATGCTCTTCCCGCTGTGGGGGAACAGTGTGGCCGGGCTCAGGGGTGACTCTGGCCTCGAATCAGGACCAGAAGTCTTTACTGGGTCAGTAGCATGCTCCCCACTGCCCCAGGAGCCAAATCCTGAACTTCCCCAGATGCTTCTCCCCAACCCCTGGAGTAGCAGCTGCCTCCCATCCCCCCCACCCCTCCTCCCTGCACCCATGATGTGTCCTCGCAGAGCCCTGAGCCCAGTGGCAGAGTTTAGATGAGTCCTGCCCCTCCCTTTCCACCTGTCACCCTCTGGGCCTCTTCCCTCCCAGCCATGGGGACACTCAGCTCTGCTCTGCCCCTCCTGGCCCTGGATGGGTGACTGAGCTGGGCACCAAGGGTAGACAGAGGGCTGGATGCAGGAGGGAGAGCCAGGGTGGCAGGTGGGCCTGGGGCACACACCTGTCGCCTCTGCTTTCCAGAGCTCTACCTGGATGAGAGCAAGCAGTTTTACAAGGAGCTGGGCTTCAAGCGGTGAGCTGGGGGCTCTGGGTTCACTGCTCCCGTATTCTTCTTCTCCCTGCCCCCCTCCCTGGCCAGGTGGGCTCTGCGGCACCCACTGCTCCAGCCAGCCCTGCCAGGCTCTCCTTGGGTGCTGGGTGTCTGTAATGGGCTGTAGGTTAGGCTTCTCAACCAGGGCCTCCTGGCAACTGGCTGCAGAGGGGGCTTGGATCCAAGTGTCCTAGTCAGGGGCCATTCCAGTCACCTTGGGTGCCGGTGCCACAGGCTGGCTGGCTCATCTGATTGGCAGCACCAGCTGAGCCAGCTCTCCGGGCTCACTCAGTCCACACTCCCCCAACCTCTCCAGGGCCCCAGGCCCGCCAACCCCCAGGCTGGGTGCCCCATGGCTCTGGCAGCTGCTTCTGGCTGGGCCAGTTGCTAGCCTGGCTGCCCTGTGCCTCCTGAGCCCCTGGCGAGCTGGGGTGGGGCCTGCTTGTGGAAACTGGTGTGTACATCTTGTGGAGACTGGGGGCAGACCCTGGCAGGGTGGGGCGAGGTGCTGGGCCTCAGTTTTTGTTGAAGACACAGAGCCTGGACAAGCCAGCGTATCTTGGCAGGTACAACAGCCTGAGCATCCTGCCGGCCGCCCTGGGGAAGCCCGTTCGTGATGTGGCCGCCAAGGTTTGTGACGGCCAAGGTCCTGTGGGATTTCGGTGTCAGGGCTTGTCTGAGGCTGATGTGGGCCTGCTCCCCTCCCTCCAGGCCAAGGCTGTTGGCATCCAGGGGAATCTGTCTGGGGATCTGCTGCAGAGCGGAGGGCTGCTGGTGGTTGCCAAAGGTGAGGGGCATCAGAGGCCAACACCTGTCCAAGGGTAGGGCATGGCAGGGCCACATACTCAGGTGGGAAGGTCTTGCTGAACTTGACCCTGCCCTGCCCCTCCCTTCCTCCCCCTGGCTTGTCAGTCTGGTCAGATTTGCCCTTTTGTGGTGTGGTTCAGCTTTGAGTGTCCTCTTAGCTGGGCAGGGTGTGGCCAGAACAGCTCATTCATCTCGGTAACCAGGTGGGGTGGTGGCCACACAGAGCCACCCTGACTCACCCCCCTCCCACTGCTGCAGGTGGTGACAAAGTCCTGCTACACTTTGTCCAGAAGTCCCCAGGTGACTACGCCCCCCAGGAGACCATCTTGCAGGCCCTGGGCATCTCTGCAGAGGCCTGCACCAGCGAGCCACCCCGGGTGAGCCCCAGCCTGGGGAGGTCCCTGCTTGCTAAGAATGCCCCTCTCCCCAACCCCTCCTGGGTCGAGTGTGTGATGTGGCCAGACGCTGAACTTCATCTTGCAGGCTTCAGTTCATTCAGTGCTCACTGTAGCCCCAGGATGTCACTGTCACCTCACTTTGCAGTGATAGGTCAGGGACAGGGTGGACGAGTGGGCAAGCACAGCAGGGCCCTCTTCAGAGGATGGTGGGCTGCTCTGGGCTGCAGGTCAGAGGAGCAGCCTGTCCTGTCAGCCTTGGGAGGACAGGGGTGTCCAAGGTGACCGCAGCCGGCCATAACTGCTGGCTGACCTCCTGTGCCCCGAATGGAGGGAAGTGTCCAGCACACTCCTTCCTCTCCTTGGCCACGGACCCCTGGACAGTGGGACCAGCTGCTCGTGGCCCTGGGGGTGTGGCTGGCCTGATGGGGCTTCTGCTGCCTCCCCAGTGCGACGAAGAAGCGTGCTCGAGGTGAGGGCCCAGGCCTCCGGAGATCTGGGCGGCGCCTCCTGCCCTGGGTGCACTGCAGCTGGATACGAAGAGACTTCCTGGGATCTCTGGGCTGGGGCTGAACTCTGCCTGGACTGCAGCAGCAGTGAGCATTAAAAGGCGGTTTCTGGGCAGTGTTTCTTCTTTGCCTCTGAACCCTGCGTCCTCGGCAGCCCCCGCCTTGATCGCTGTTGGTTGCATCCGGGCCGGCGGGGAGGCCATGTGTCCGAGGCGTGACCTTCCCCGCTAGGGGAACCACTCTCCCTGGCAAGATGGGGGTTGTTGACATGCCCCCGCAGCCTTCCTGGAGACTGCACGCCTTTGGCACATGCAGGTCGGGGGCTGAGATCAGGCCCAGGGTGTGGGAGACCAGGGCAGGGATGGGCTCTGTCTGACGGTGAGGAAACTGCCCAGGCCCCAGGTGGGAGCCCTGCCTGAGGGGCCGAGGTCAGAGCTCCTGTCTGGTGGGAGCTAACTGGATTTCCAGGGAGGGGATGGTTTCTGTTCCACGCACTGGGGTCTGGTGGACGGTCAGGGACTTTCAGGGAAAGGGCTGCTCCGCGGGAAAGATCCTTCACTCATGTGAGAATCGTCATTTGCGCCCTCCTGGGCGTGGCTGGCCTGGGGGCGAGTCTTGGACTAGCTGTAACGTCCAGCTCCCCCAGTGCGGATGCCACATATGATGGGGCAACAGGCAGAACTCCTGTCCCGCTCCCCTCAGGGGCCTTCTCATCTGAGTGAGTTCGCATGGCCTTCTCAACACCTCCCCTTTGTCCCCTGGCCCAGGCCTGGATGGCCACAGTGGCCTTCCAGCTGACCTCTCTGCTCTCCCCTTCTCCCAACAGACAGTCTCTGTGGTTATTTAAAAACTCAGGGCAGGTGACAGGGTTGCAGCAAGTTAAGCTCACTGGCTCCCAGTTACACAAAACCCCAAATCCAGATTCTGGGCTGCGTCTCAGGTCCCCTGTGCCCACCTCCTGGACCTCCGCTCCTTCCTGAATCAGTAGCTCCTCCCCCTTAAACGTGGTCCCCCAGGGCGGGCATCCGGGGGCATCCTGCTCAGTGCTGTGTCCCCAGTACAAAGACCCTGGGGAGACTGTCAGGAATGCCCACCGCCTCCTGGTCATAGCAGTCAGCAAGTGGCAGAGCCTGGTACGGCCCAGGAGAACTGGGCACTTTCCGGGGTCCTGTCACCCTGACTGCCCTTCCTGGGCACTGCCACACAAACACAGCAGCCAAGGGCTTCTTTAAAGCATTTACTTAGCTCAAATCTGAAGCTTGTGGACAACTGAAGAGGATGAGCTTTGGAGAGCGGGCGGAAGACTGATAACCATGTCTACGGGGCTGCGGTGGGCGGCGGAGGGGGCGCTGGGCTGGGCTGCGCTTATCCTGATGGTCACCCCCAATGGTCCAGGGCGGTGGCTGCACTCCAGGCCGGGCGCGGAGGCAGGGAGTGGTGCGGGTCAGCCACTGGGCGCGGGGCGCACGCCGGGTCCCCACCAGCTGCGCTGTCTCCGCGAGGACCAGTCGCCTCCTGGTGGTGGGTGGGCATGGGCCGCACAGCGCGGCTCGGCCTTGGCTACCAGATGCGGCATCGCACTTTCGGGTGCATGGGGGTGCCCGGGGCACAGTGGAACGCATCCGCGAACGCGGCCAGGTTTTGCAGCGAGCCCAGCACCCTGCGGGTGGACAGAGGGGCCTAAGAGGGTGCCAGAGCAGGCGCTGGGCGCGGGGAACCAGGGGCCACTTGCCTGTACTTCAGGGGGCTGTGGACGTCAGTCTTGATGGACTGGACAGCGAACTCTGGCCGGTAGGACCCGCACCACACCTGGGGGGGGGTCATGAGAGGCATGGCTGTGGGACTCGGTGGGTGGGGCGGGCCTGGGGGGATTGGAGGAGGGGTAAGGGGGGACCTGAGGGGATACTGGAGGGGGCTGCCCCGGCCTGAGGGCCAGGAGGTGGGGCGCCCAGCGGGCTGTGGCAGGGATGGAGTGTGGTCCAGCGCCTCCTGCCAGGCCCCAGCTGTGCTCTCCTGGGTGGGGAGAGGGAAGCCAGCTGATCCTTCCCCGCCTCTGCAGCTACATCTTCCCCAGCTCCAGCGCCCCTGCCATCCTTTTGCCCGAGGAAGCCTTCCTGGCCCGCGAATTCTGGTTCTGCCTAGCTTGCCTGCCCACGGTATCCCCGGAGGCACCCCACAGCCGGGGCTCTCCGAGGATCTGAGCTGGGAGCCAGTTCCTGGCCGGTGTGGGGGCAGGTGGGACGGGGGCTCGGGCTCCTGCCTGGGCATAGCTGACGAAGAACAGCTGGGTGTAAGTCAGCTCCAGTCCCGGCAGCTGCCGATCCTTGCCACCCTCTGCCATCCACTTCAGGTAAGCCTGTGGGTACCAAGAGGGGGCTGGGCCCAGGCCTGCCCTCCCTCCTGGGGGCAGCACCAGCCTGGCCAGGGCTCCGGAGTCCTTGGATCAGGGCAGAATGGAGGCCTGGCTCCCGGGCCTACCCTGGTGGGGGTCCTGCCTCTGCTGTGCAGGGCCCTCTGGGTACCCCCAGAGACGAGGGCTCCCCGTCTTGATGACTCAGTGGCCATCTGAGCACGACACCGGCGGGGCTCTGTGGGGACTCACCGCCTAGGCATCCTGCCATATGGCACCCACCCAGAATGGTCTCCAGACGCCCAGTGCCCGAGGCTGTAGGTGCAGGGGTGCTGCTGAGGCTGACGGGTAACCTGGGCCAAGTTGCTTCCTTCCTAGCCTCCTTGAGGGGCCCCCGCATGGACCCACCTTGTAGGCCTGCCGCAGCCCTCCGTTGTCGGCGATGTTCTCCCCGAGCGTGCTGAAGCCATTCACCTGCTCGCAGGAGACAGGATGGCGGGGCAGCCCGGGCGCCCCTCCCCTGCCCTCTCCCTGGGCCAGGGCTTCGGCGCGGGGTGCGGGCAGTGGGGGCTCACGTTTTGATCTTCAGCCACATCCCAGGAGTAGTTCCCGTACTGGTGGACCATGCACTCCGACTGCTGCTGGAAGTGCTGGGCAGAGAAGTTGCTCCACCAGTCCAGCATGTTGCCGTCCTTGTCGAAGTTCCGGCCTGGGGGGTGGGGGCAGGGGGGCTGCCCTCGGGGCCTCTCCCAAACGCCCTCCCAGGGACCCCAGTGTCTAGGGCTCATGTTTGTGGGAGAGAACAGGCCTCTGAGGGGCTGCTCAGGCTTGGGGAGGAAAGGCGTCAGTGGTGTCTGTGCCGCCCCGAGGTCAGGGCCTGGGGGCTCGGGTCCCAGGATCCTGCAGGCACTGTGCACTCTTGACCCTTGCTGGGATGTCCAAACTGTAAACCCCAGGTGAGGGGAGCACAGGGACCCTGGGGAGGGTCCTCAAGCACGTGCCCTCTGAGGGTCCCTGTGGGTTAGCCCCGTGGGAAAGCCAGCCTCCCTGGGGTGCAGCCGGAGGCTCCTGGATCCAGGCAGGGGCCCCGCCCTGCAACGGGAGGGGTGCGTTTGTGACTTTGGGGCGCAGCTCCGACCCCCAGGCAGCCCCTACCGTTGTCGTCAAAGCCGTGGATGATCTCGTGCCCGATCACCATCCCAATGCCCCCGAAGTTCAAGGCCTGTGGCTGCTCCTTGCTGAAGAAAGGGGGCTGGAGGATGCCGGCGGGAAACACTGCTCCGGCGGGGGTGGGGAGGACAGAATAAACTGTGAGCGTGCACATCTGTGCCCCAGCTCAGGGTGGGCACCTCTAGGAGTCCTGTCTTCAACCCCACAGCCCAGGGGGGAGAGGTTACAGCACACACACCCATTTTACAGAAGAGAAGACCGAGGCTCAGAAGCCAGAAGGGCAGGGCTAGTACGTGGCTGACCCAGGACTCTGGATCCTTGTACCATCCTATGCTGCCTCCAGTCTCCTCTGGCACTGGAGGAACGGGGGCGGGTGGGGAACGTACCAATCTGGTTTCGGTTTGGGGAGTAGAAGGCGTTAACCACGGCAGCTCCGATGATCCAGCTGTGAGCAACAAGGGGGTCACCTAGAGCCCCAGTCTCTGGGGGCCCTCCCCTCAGGTCCCCCTACTCGGCTGACCAGAACCCCCCCCCGTGGGCCCAGCCACAGCAGCCACGTCACGGGCCCAGCGCCGCCAACAGCCAGGGCAGGTCTGGGCCAATCCAGAGATCTGGCACCTCCCTGGGGCCCCATCAGCAGAAGGTGGGCAGGGAGCTTTGAGTCAGACCCACTGCCGTCCCCAGCTGGCCTGGCCCATCGGTGCCCAAATGCTGGCGCCACTCACACGTTCTGGTCCACCTTTTCCCGAAGTTTCTTAAGGCTTCGCTGGGCGCCGGCCTTGAGGTTCTGCAGACCGTTCTCAAAGTACAGGTCCTCTGAGAAGTTCAGCTACAGGAGAGGGGTGGTCACTTACGGGCATGTGTGTGGGGTCCTTCAGGGGCCCGGGGCAGGGCGTGGTCAAGGGCAGCTGGGGACTGGCCTTGGGACCCACCAGGCAGGCCCACACGCAGCCCACAGGCTCTGGGTGCAGGGGGACTGGGGCCGGCCCAGGCTCTGCACATTTACGTGCCTGGGGGAGACCCCAGTCCCTCCTGGCCTCAGTTTCCCCGTCGGTAACAAAAGGTAATGCTAGGACCCCAGCAGGTGGCTAGGTGGCTGAGTTAGTGATGGAAAACCACCCCTCAGGTAGTTGAGGGCCCATGGTCCATAGGGGGCTGGCTCGGGGGAGGCTGGGTGGGGGCGAGGGGACGCAGCTCTTGGGGGCATCCCGGCTGGGGATGGGGCACACTTTGGAATACTCCTCATCCAGGTGTTTGTTCTTCTCCTCCAGGATGTAGTCGGGGTACCCAATCTGCTCCCGGATGCTCATGGCCTGGGGAGGAGGTGGGGGGCCGGTCCGTGCCTGCCACCCAGAGAGCATCCTGGCTGTGCCCTCCCCGCCCCTGCCATGTGGGTAAGGGGCTAAGGGACTGAGCACTCCATGCAGGCTGTGGGGACATTAATGGGGACAGAATGTGGAAGGGTGCAACCAGAGACTGAGCTTCTGTGCCCGCCAGCCAGCCACGGGTCTGGGGAGGAGGCCAGGCAGAGCTGCTCAGCTCTGTTTGCCACCCTGGCCCCGAGGGGCTCCGTTCCCTGTGTCTGTGGCCACCCCCACCCATTGCCGGCAGTGGGCCTCGCTTTGGTCTCACCTCTGCCCACAGTGCCTTCCTGAGTGAGCCCCCCAGGCTCACTGTCCTCGTGTCTGAAGTGGGTGTGGTGACCCTCACCCCAGACCCCTTGCGCTGGGGCTGCCCTCTCCTGGCAGGAGGCCCTGGCCGAAGGACTCCAGCCTCCGCCCACCTTCTCCTTGGCTTTCTTCTTGGATGACTCGTCCATCCAGCTCAGCTCGTCCAGGGTCTCCAGGAACACTGCCCGCATCTTGTTGACGAGCTCTCTGACCTGGGGGAGTGCACGGCCCTGCTGCCTGGAAGGCCAGCACTGGGGTCCGCAGGGGGCGGGGCTAAAGCCTCGTGTGGGCCGCCCCGAATGTGCTGGGGGTTGGGGGTGGGATAGGTCCCCGGGACAGGGTCCCCGCTGCTGCACTGTGTCCGAGGTGGGCCTCGGGCCTGCCAGCCCCTGCACGCACACCCTGTACAGTTTCTGCCCTTCCCAGGCCTGCAGAGGTGGGGGCCGCTGGCTGGTAGGGGGCCCGGGCTGCGGGGCAGGCGAGGCTTCCCTGTGCCACTGAGCACGTGCGTGCTGCTCGAGCCAGCTCCCCTCGCCAGGAGCCCAGGGTCGCCGTGCTGGGGTGGAGCTGTGACCCGCCCCCCGCCCCCACTGCCTCGGCCAAGGCACCCACGGCGCGCTTGCTGTCCTCGGGGAAGGCCTCCCGCACGTAGAGCGAGCCCACGGCGCTCTCCATGTTGCTGTTGACATAGTTGACGCACTCCCGCCAGCGCACCTCCTCCACCGTCGTGCCGTACAGCGCCTGGCCGCCGTTCATGCCGCCATGTCACCGCCATCGACCTCCCCGTCCTCGGCCTCAGGTGCCCAGCGGCCAGTGCAACATGGGCGAGCTCGGAGGCTCCCTTTGAACACTGGGCCCGGGTGTGCGAGGGCCGGGTGTGCAGTTTGGAGGGGACGGCTCCCCACCCAGGCCACCCTAGGGTCAGGGGAGGGTGGGGGCACTGCTCCACCCTGAGTTCTTCCTTGTCCCGTCCCTGACACTCAGGCCTGGCTGGCCTCTGCTCTCAAGGACTCCAGTCCCAGCCCCAAGCACAGGCTGGCATTGACCTTGGGGGCCTTGTCTAGCTCAGCCGAGAGCCAGCAGCTCCCTGGGCCCCGGTTTTCCCATCTCCAAGGTCTGATGAGGATGTCTGCCAACCTGTCCCCAGGGACACAGGTCACAGGATGGAAACGTGTCCCCCGTCAGATTTCTGGCCCCAAACCTCGGCCAGCCTGGAGCTCTGCCCGGCGTCTGGCCGCAGGCTCTTGGGCTGCAGGGTTTCCTGCCCCCTAAGAAGTCAGTGCGACTCCTGCTCTGTCCTCTGAGCTCTGGGACTCAGCTCCCCTCCTGAGTCTTGGCCAGTAGCATCTCCAGCCCAACAGGAAGGCAGGGGGCCTGACTTGCCCCCAACCTGTCCTGCCGCCATCTCCCTGGTCAGCGTTGGACCTCTGCCCACCCCACGTCTCTGGTGAAGAATGTCAGGGTCCCCTCTGACTCCGCAGGTCTCCATCCCCTCATCCACACTTAAGCTGTCTGCTGTCAGCACCTCCATCTACTGCTGACGGCGCGGTCCAACCCCCACCCCCACCTGGACGGTGGCACCGCCTCCACCCTGCCCGTGCCCCCCAGCAGCAGAATGACCACACTGCAGGACACTGGGCTTTGGTTCCCACTCTTAACACCTCAGTGGCTTTTGGTGCACGTGGAATCCCGTGCTGCCCTGGCCCACGATTGCCCCGCCCACCTGCCTCCTTGGCCTCACTTTCCTCCCCCGTGTGGCTCCGTGTCCCTGCCCCAGGACCTCCGCACGAGCTGTTTCTGCTCCCTGGGAACCTGCCCTCGGTCTCTTCATGCCTGGGTCATTCTTGCCTCAAGGTCTCCCTGGTCACTCTCACCGAGAGGCTCTCCCTGCTCGTGTCTCTTCCTCGCCCCCCGTCCTACTTGTTGGTTTTGGGAGAGCAGGTCTCCAGTTTGCTGACTGCGTGTTGTTCGACTGCCCCATGAGGGCAGGTGCCTGGTCAGCCTCGATCATGGCCCTGGCCCCAGTGTGGACCTCGGCGCTTGGCCCACAGCAGGTGCTCAGCGTCAGAAATGAGCAAATGACAAGCCAGGCTCGGCACAGGGGCGAGAGCCACGCACGTGGGGTGTCTCTCACCTTGCGGTAGTTGGCACGTGCGTCCTTGAATCGCTGGCTCAGGCTGCTGATGCGGTCCAGCACCAGGCGCCAGACCAGGTAGTTCTGCATGGTCCTGGGGCAGGAGGCAGAGGGCGGGGGTGGAATGGCTGGGTCGTGTCTGCCCAGGAGAGGATATGGCTCATGGGCCCTTGGGCAGCAGGTTCCACATCCAGTAGGGGTTCACGGTGGTGCAGAAAGCTTCCAAGACAACCCCTGGATACACCCTGCCTGCCCCTGGCCGCCTCAGGAGGGGCTCACAGCTCTCATGTTGGGTTCCACTGACCACTATCGTTTTACCCCATCGTGTCCCTCAGGCCTCAGAGTGAATGCTCTCTGGGGTCCTCTCCTGAGAGGAGCAGCCGCTGGGAGTGGGGGGGAGCAGGGGGAGATGCGAGGCCTCTGGGGCTCCTCGGCCTCACCTGGCTGAGTAGATGTCAATGATGTCTTCCAGGTTCTGAAGGTAGGGGGCGCCATAGACCACCACCTCTTCATTGGGCAGCAGCTCAATGTTGACATGGGATAGCACAGACTGAATGAAGAGGGTCCAGTTAAATCCCTGGGGAAGGAGGGAGTGGGGAGAGAGAGACATAGTTCTTGGGCATCCAAGAAACTCAGCCCTCACCAAAGAACATTCAAGAACTAAGAGGAGGGGGAGGGTATAGCTGAGTGGCAGAGTGCATGCCTAGCAAGCATGAGGTCCTAGATTCAGTCCCCAGTACCTCCACTGAATAAATAAATAAAAACCTAATTACCTCCCCCTCGCCAAAAAAAAACTATACAGTGCTGTACATCAATTGTATTTCACTAAACCTGGAAGGAAAAAAGAAGCAACAGAGAAGGTGCAGGTAATCAAAATCATGAAAAAGGCAGACGACGTCACTGCCGAGCCTACAAACCGTGAACAGAGATTGTGGCGATCTATCTGAGAGCTCGAGCCCAGCGGAAGACTCCCGGGAGAAGCACAGCTTAGCAAAAATGAAAGAAGAAGTGGAAAATATAGTTTTATATATAATAACCTGGATATTTAATTTAAAATATTCCCACACAGAAATTTCCAGGCTCATCTGCCTTCTCCGGTGGATACCGTCTGAGATTTAAGAAAGACACACTGTCAAAAAAAGAAGAACCAAAACGCCACTAACTGGCTGTATTCTGGGCTATCGTCCTCATTAATACCCCGAATAAAACGTGGTTCTTAAAGATGTACTGTCACTCTACTCACCTTCCAGAGAAAGGAAAGAGAGAAAACTCTTTCAGCCTGAGTCGTGAGGCCAAGAGTAACCTTAATACCAAACTAAAGACATTGCAGGAAAAGGAAGTAATAGGCCAGTCTCATTTACTGTAATTGGAACAAAAAACCCTAAGCAAAGTAGTAGCAACTGGGATTCACCCACACCGGCATGAAACAGACAACGCAGCGCAGCCAGACTTGAATACACGTGTGGCGCGGCATCTGAAGGTCAAATCAATGCAATTCACCATGGTAACTGAATAAAGAAGGAAAATCACGGGGTAATCTCAACAGACGCAGAGAAGGAATTTTGAAGATCGACTACTCGTGATGAAGATGCTCAGCGAATTAGGAACAGAAGACACGCTGCACGATCTAATGAAAGGAGCTGAACAACCGCAGCAGTGGCAACAAACGGACACCAGGCGCCAGCAGACAAAATCACAGGGCGAAACGCTGCAGGCTTCTGCTCTGGGCTGGGGAAGGAAACAAGGTATCTCCTGTCAGGACACCAGCTCTAGGCTCAAAGCCCTAGCCAGCTCAATAAGACAAGAAAAAATAAGCCCATCAGGATCGAAAGGGAAGGAGTAAAACTTATTTTTCACAAAGGACAGGACTCTGTGTATATAAAACATGAAAGGACAAACTCTTAGAACCAAGACGTGCATCGAGTAAAACTGCTGGATACAAAGCATTTCTGCACGCTAGCAGCGCACGGTAAAAGCAATGACCAAACGACACCATTTACAATAACACTGAGAAACCAAACACCTAGGAGCAAACCTCACGAAAGGTGTGTACGGCCTTGAAATAGAGAAGTATAAAACGTATGGAGAGAAATGAGAGAAAACATGAATATCTAGAAGTAAATATCCAGAAGGGTCACGGATCAGGAGACTCAGCCTGGCGAAGGCGCTGCTCTGCCCCAGATTGATGCTCAGGCTCCAGGCAGTCCCCAGCAGAATCCCAGCAGGACTGCCTGTGGAATCGCCTAGCTGACCCTGAGTCTCCTAAGGAAATGCAGAAGGCCAAAAACAATCATTTTGATCTTGGAGAACAAAGCTGGTAGACTTGTTCTATTGGATGTCAAACCGTGTCACAGAACAGCAGCAGCGGAGACACTAGGGGCCGGCGCGTGAACAGACAGGGAGGCGGAGAGAGGTCAGCAGTCCAGGTGCACACGCCCGGTGCACACACACAGACACACACAGACACGCAGTTTTTAACAAAAGCAGCACACAGCACAATGGCTAATGAGGGAGACTTTTCAGTAAATGGTGCTGGACAGTCTGGACAGCCACAAGGAAGAGCTGAGACAATCCGTCCTTCTCACTGCGTGCAGAAGCACCACCTCCAGGCGGACTGTTTCATCTTTCAACTCTTGTTTCATCTTTGCTCCGTTGATAAATTGGACTATTTAAAAAAAATGGACTATTTTAAAACCTCCTTTAGAGAAGAAGCAGTACAGGATAAAACAGCAAGCTGCCGAGCGGAGAGGGGGTCTGCTCCGCAGAAGCTGGCCAAGGGGTCCCACCCAGCACACCCAAAGAGCTCAGCGTCAGCTAGAAGGAGGCAGAGATCCCAGGAAACAATGGGCAACAGACTGGAGCAGACACTTCACAGAAGGGGGCCGCCGCTGGCCAGTCAACACGAAGCAGAGGTCAACTCCGCTGGCCACAGGGAAAGTCAGGTGCGGCCCTGATGGAGATCCCACAGCACATCCCAGATGCTCTGAGATGGATGGGACGGACCCCGCCGAGCACTGGGGCGTGTGAGTCTGTGCAGGGACGCTGGTGTGACCCGTGAACGCTGGACACGTGCCTGTCCTACGACCTAACAGGGATGTGCGCATGCACGTGCCACAAGACGTGCCCAAGAATGAGCGTAGCAACACTGCTCGCAAAAGTCCAGAGCTGGGACTGACCGGAGGCCCAGCAAGAGTAGACCAGGGGCTCAAACTGCTGTGTGTTCTTAGGATCGGCGTGAGTGACGAGGGAGAGGGGAGATGCGACGGGAGGATGGTGAGATGCGGTCTCACCCGCAAAACGGAGAGCGAGAGAAGCCGGGTGCACGCTCGTAGGGGGAACATTCAGGTGGTGGTCGCTTTGCAGGGAGGTAGGGGGACACGCGGTGGGGCATCAGTAACGGCTTAAGTCCTAAGCTGAGCCATGGCTGTGCGGATGTGCGGTGTGGCAACTCTAAGCATGGTAAATGTGTTATAATCCAGACACCCCAAGCCCTGGGTCCCTGGACGTTCCCACACGCCTGCTCCAGGGCCGTCTCCACGCACCTTCCGGCTGTTTGAGGCGCTATCTTTCCTTTTCCATATTCGGTCCACAAGGCCTGTGGGTTCTCCCTTCCAAACAGATCTGGAAGCCACCCCTCTCAGCACCCGGCTGCCATTTGTCCCAGGCTGCCACCCTGTGCAGCCTGGGCTGTGCTGCACCCTCTGGACCCCTCTGCCTGCCTCTGGCCCTCGGACCCTTTAGCCTGTTTCCTCGGCAGCCGGAGCCCATTCAGTATGAGTCAAGTCCTGTTCCAACAAAGCCAGTGCCTTCATGACAGCCCTGGAGGCCCAACGCAGTCCACCCCTCCCTCCCTGGCCTCCTCCAGTCGCCCTGCAGCCCCTGCCTCAGCACCTTAGCACTTGCTGTTCCTCCCTCAAGACCATGCCTGGCCCTCGTCCAGGTCTTCTCGGACTCAGCCTCCCGGCTGCCCTCGACTCCCCCCTGCCTGCCCTCTGACACGCTCTGCAGGCCACTTCTCTTTTCCCTGACCCGAGCTCCAAGCAGGGTTTGCCTGCTTTGTTCGCTGATGGAGCTGGTGCCAGAGCAGGGCTGGCCCCGCCTCGTGCCTACTTGAGGGGTGGGCCAGCCATTGGGCTGTGGGGGGGAGGGGCATCACAGCAGGCCGCCACCGGGAGCCAGGAAGGAAGGGCAGGATGCAGGGACCACAGGGCCTTCTGGGGCCCCAGGTGCCATGAGCCCTGGGCAGGGGCTCCCCTAAATTTTCCCGTCTTGTTTCATGGCTCTAGACACTTAGCCTTTCTGGTGGAGGCAGGGCTTTGGGCCCTGTCTCCGGCCCTGCCTTCCTCCCTGTGATGCTGGGCGCTCGCCCAGCTGCCCCTCCTCCCTCTGGCTTGAGCCCCCAGTCAGTGGCGGGGCCCTGAAGCGTGCTCCGGCCCCTCCTTCTGCAGCAGGAGGCCCTCCGACTGCTCGGCTGGGCTGCCCCTCCCCAGCCCCAGCTCCTAAGCGGAAGTCCTGGCTAGAGAGGAGCAGAGGGTCCAAGGGTCTGGTTGTGGGGGGCAGAGCTGTGGTGGGGTTCTGAGTGGGCCTTGGAGACAGAAAGCCCTGGGTGAGGGTCTGCCCAATTCAGGCGGGCAAGTCCGCAGCCCTTCCCAGCCTGTTACCTGCTCAGAAAAGGGGGACCTCACAGCAGCCACCTCACAGACCAGGTGGCCCCCATCCCCAGACAGCCAGCTGACCCCAGCTGTCCCGGTGTGGAAACGTCGTGGTTTGGGTGACCAGTTCCATGGCCCCTGCTCGGGTGGGTGTGTCTGGGGCTTCCAGGAGAGCAGTGGGGGCGGCAGGTGGCCCAGGCCTTACCTTCAGACTGAACTTGCCCTGGAGCTCCTCCAGGTCCATCTTGCAGTACAGGGTGGTGACATCATGCCGCTCCTCCTGGGGGGCTGTGGCCTGCACCAGGTGGGTGGGTGGTCACATGGGGGGGGTGGTCAGGTCGGGGGACACTTCCCCCACCCCACCCGCCCAGGGCCGCAGCCTCACGTTGGCCAGATGCGTCTCCAGCTCCAGCACGTGCGCCATGTCCTTCCGCACCAGGTAGCTGTTTGTAGGAAGATTCAGGTCTGCCCGCAGCATTGTGGCCACCGACACCATGAGCTGCAGGTAGGCTTCCCGGACCTAGGGCAGAGGACGCAGGATACCGTCTGGCGGCCTCGGCCATTTTGCCCCCACGGAGCTCTCTGTGGGGGTGGGGAGGGCACGTGACACAGAGCAGCCCTTGGAACACTCGTTGGGTGCGGTTCTGGATGGTCCGTGCCCCCCGGAGCGGGGCCCTCAGTGCTGGGGCTCACACTCCCCAGCAAGGCGGGGTGCTGTGAGCTCCGTGGGGGTCCGTGCCTACTTCCCAGACCCGCACAATGGAACCCCGTGCAGATACTCGGGCCGGGTGGGCTCCCCTCCCCATCCCTTCTGTGTGTCACCTCGTCCCTGAGCTCACCCAGGACCCAAAGACCTTTTCTGGTGGGCTGCTTGGCTGTGTACAAAGTGCTGGGCACACAGTGGCCGCTCAGCAAAGGCCCAAGGTCAAGGGTGGGCTGCCTGAGCCAGGCTCACGGCGACCTGAGGATGCATGCCCGTCTCGGACCCGCCTTCTTCACGGCCAGTCCGGGAGGGGCTTTCCTTACTGCAAGCAGGGACTGTGGAAACCACCTCCGCCCAGTGGCTTGGCCTCGGGCTGGGCTGACTCCCCAGGCCAGGCTGCAGCTGTTCAGTCTGACCGGCGGCTGCCAGGCTCGAGCCCTTCCAGGCACCCAGGCCCCGCGGCCCTGAGCTGGGCTCCCTGGCCTGCTCTCCTCGTCCCACTGCCTCACTTGTCTTTCCTCTTGGCTGGACCCGTCCTTCACAGCCCAGCTCACAGCCCGCCTCTGCCGGGAGGCCCCCACGCGGCTTCCTGGCTGTGGGTCACGTCACCTCCTGCCTTTCCAGTTTGCTCCCCATCCTTCCTCCCCGCTGGCCCTGTCCTGTCTGCCTTGCTGCATGTCTGGTTCCCCATTTCTCTCCTCCCAGGTACAGGAGCAGGAGGGCTCAGGGAGCAGGCCCAGGGCCCAGGCAGCCTGTGCTGGGATCTTAGTGAGCTGGCAGCGTGGGACCGCAGTCTGGCCCTGGTGAGGTGGGATGACATGTGTACCCCTCAGGGCTGCTGGGCTGGGCTTATCCCTGAGCCTGGCTCCAGGTGTTCAGGGACACCCCTATGACGGTGACAAAGGCAGAGATCCTCATCTGCATCCCTAGCCCTCAGTGCCAGGCTCGATCCGCACGGGTGCCTCCAAAGGCTGGCTTTGAGGGCAAGGGTCAGGTGGACACGCAGGGAGCTGGGCCACGGGGGGCCCGAAGTGATGGGAGGAGGGCGGTGCCCAGAGCGGAGGAGGCTGGCAGGAGGGCTCCAGGGGGCGGGTCCGGCAGCCCTGACTCACCTTCTGGTTGTTGCCGTCGTCGAAGTAGTATTCTCGGGACGGCATGCCCAGGGTGGGCTGGTCTATCTGGAGACACAGAGTGTGGGAACCTGGGCATGGAGCGGGGGTTCCCCACGGCCTGGCCAAGGCGCTCCCAGCCCTGCCCCTGACCCCTACACCGCCCACCTGGAGTGCACGCGG